TTCCCTGACGCTGGGTGACACTGAGGTATGCCGCAGGGGGGCTTTGGGGCCACCTGTGACTGTTGATGTCCTTTTGTGCCCCACAGCCATGGGGAGGGTACCCGCCAATCCCTAAGCAAGATGAGCTTGTCCTACAGCGTCCAGGCCTCCAGGAAGTGTTCAGGCATGTCTTGGGCACGCAGCCTCCTAGTTCCAGGCCTCGGGAAGCGTGACGTGGAGCTGGGTCTCGTCGGCTGCGGCAGCTTGAGTGCCCTCAGCTGGCCTCGCGGAGAGGCTCTGTCTGACCTGGGAGCGCCGGCTCTGAGGAGGTGTTGAACCCCTTCTGCAAAATGCACTGGCGGTTTCTCTCCACCCAAATGTCTGACTTCACCACCAGGAAGTGCTGTCCTATGGCAGGTCAGGACCAAGCCTCGGAGGCACAACGGTCCAAACCCCCATTCGGAAGGGCTTGTTCTAGGGAAGGCACTGCTCCCTACAGCACTCGGGAGCCTCCTTTTTTACCTCTTGTTCACACTAGTTTTCTTACTGATCCTATCGGACTGTCTCTTCTTACAGAGACTGATTTTGGCCAACATGTGGCAGTTGATAATTAATGCATGTTTTATGCAAAACAAAAAATACGGTATTAGTTGCTTTTAAGGAATTCTGACATTATATGTGCGTTTTTGTAGAAATTGTTACTGGACTTATAATTACACACTTAACTCCAATCAGGTTTCTGTAAAATTTAAATAAAACCAAATTCAAAATCGTTGCTTTTCAGATCGTTTTTGGTCACCCTTCAGTCTACACAGCCTCCCTCTGCGAGTTGTAGGAAAATGAGTGTAACGTGAGTAGGTTCCAACAGCTCTTCTGCCCTGGGATCCTGCTCTCAGCACAGGGCATTGGGTCAGTGTCGGGGAGCTCGCCTGCCATTCTGTGCCAGGCGGCCGGGCCGCGGGCCCTGGGCAGGGCTCCTTTACTCCCGGCCTCCAGCAGTTCCTGGGAGGGAGGGGCCGCGATGGCTGGGATCTCAGCAAGCAGCTGACCAAGGCAACAGGCTGGGTTAGGAGCAGTCGGGCGCCCAGGTAGCGTGGGTGCAGGAAGAGGGCTGCGAGCCCACGGCCCAGAGAAGAGGTGAGGCTCACCGACGTGGTGGCCATGGTCTCAAAAATAAACACTAAGCAAACCAAAAAGCCAATGTACGGGCCCATGTGTGTGCTCTTCCGATTCCTGCTTCCTTGGAGGTTATTAAAACGGGGTTGTCAGTAACAGCCTCGGGCTGCTCCTACAGCTCAAAACTCAAAACCCTGCGATCGCCAATGCCAGGAAAACCAGCTCTTGCTCATAAAAGACCCCCAGTGGAACTGAGGGAAGTTGACAGAGCGATCCGAGTCGTTAGGGGACCAGGAAGCAGGCTAGTGGAGCCCCGACTGGAGGGCTGCCCTCCAGGGAACGTGTGGGAGCGGTAAGGTAAGGCTGCCTCCCAGTCACGCCCCTTGAAGCCATTGCCAGGTACCAGCTCGCTGAGGGGGCCCAGCCCCTGGTCCCTCACCACTCCCCGGGCTAGTAGGCGGTCGACAGGGATTTGCATCGTGCTGGACTGGTTTGCAAGAGATCTGAGAAGTGAGCAGGCGCAGCTGCTGTCAGGACCGGAGTCCCGCCCTCCGCAGAGACCCTCGGGGCCTGCAGTGGTCCTGGCGTGGAGCTGCCACGTCTTGCTCTTGTTGGCAGTGCCGTGTCCAGCTCGCTGTCTCCACTCCCCTACTGTGTGACCGTGGCCCTCTGCTGTGGGCACAAGAGGAGCCAGCCTTAGGAGGAAGTCAGGATCCTGGAAGGCGAAAAGCAGAAACAAGTCTTCATGATTCAGCCACAAGCAATGCACCACGCCTCGCCTGAAGTGCGTGCAGCGCGTGGGCTTCGCCGAAGTGTGCGGTTCCACAGCGGCTGCGTTTGCATCTCAGCGACCGGATTCACTGCCTCACCAGCACTCGGTCCAGTTCTTAGTCCGCATGTCTCCTCCTATGGAAAAAGGCTGGAAGTCTCTCCGGACCCCCATGCAAGTGTCTGGCTGGAGGAGGGGCTGTCCACAGGCTCCCAGCACCTGCTTAGCACCTCTGCCGGGCTCCTCCCACTCAGACTCCCACCTGGGTTTCTCCTCTCTCTTTTTCCCCCGGCGTGGGACCCACAGCTCTTGCTGTCATCCTGGCCTCCTGCCTACCTTAGCCACAAGGCTCCTAGACCCAGCTGACCAGCAGTTCCATGAGCCAACGTGAGAAAGTCTAGAACCAACCCACTTGTTGGGTCTCTGCTCTCAAGCACTGTGTGCAGGGTAAGGCAGGCCCCGGGGTGGGCAGGGTCCTGGGAAGCACAGTGGCCCAGGCTCTCCGTATCCTCACGTCTCCCCTTGCCCAGTGCAACAGCACAGATGTGAGACGTCAGGGGAGCGCACAGTGGTGGGGTGACCACTGCAGGATCACAGCACCCTGCTTAGAGAAGGGGACGTGCACCCCAGTTATGGGCACCAACAAAAGGGCAGCAGCTTGGTGGGCGTGGGGGGAGGGAAGGATTCACTGTATCAGAAAGGTAGAGACAGGGATCTTCCACCTACTGGTTCCCTCTCCAAAAGCCCACAACAGCCAGGGCTCGGCCAACTGATGCCAGGAGCCTGCAACTCCATCTGGGTCTCCCACGTGGGGTTCAGGGACCCAAGAACTCCAGCTATCACTTGCTGCCTCCAGGGTGGGCGTTAGCAGTAGGGAGACTTGGGACTGGAACCCAAAACAGGATGTGGGTATCTAAACCACACGAAATGCGTGAAATGCCTGCTCCCTCACTCCTTTCTGGAAGGACCCCTCCTGGTCCTCTGAGCACCGTATTCTGCAGGCTTTGTTGCAGACATGCTGCCCTGGGCCTGCAGCTCCCTTCTGAAGTGGACTTCAGGTTTCCATTCTCCCCTCTCCTTCCCCTCCCCCCAAGGCTTGTAGTGCCCCTGTGTGTGTGGACAGCCTCCATCGGGCACCCGTAGCTTGCAGTTTTCCTGTGTGCCCATTCCACAGGCAACTGCCATTTACAGGTGTCTGCTTGCATCTCACGTCGCCTGCACACACGGCCCTCCCTGGGCTGGCCGATGAGTCTTCTGAAGCCGGTCCCTCACAGGCTGGCCAGCGTCACATGACACGCGGCTCTGGTTAACTACGACCCCGCTGAAGCCCTGTAGCGGCCTTGGCTTTGCAGAGGGTCGGCTTGGAAATCCTTAGCTTGGCCTTGGAGGGCTGCTGGGTTCCAGCCAAGTCAGCTCACCCCACTGAGCTCGTCCACTGAGCCCTTGCTGTTGGTCCCTGGGACCTCCTTCCCTCTCCCACCTGATGGCCACAGAAGTCCAGGGAGCAGTGAGATCCCCAGCCCTCCCTGTCACCATTCCGTGTCTTTTCTTCCTGAAAGCCCTCAGTGTTGCGGGCGAGCAAGACTGAGCCCTGTTCACGGCCGGGGCCTGAGCAGCTGGCAGTGGCTGGACTCCCGGCAGGACGAAGGAATGCTTGCTGAACAAATGAACGCCACGCGTGCACCTACTTCCGCCCTCTGCCCACGCCACCGTGCTTGCTGGTGCACGGCACAACACGGTGCTTGAGAACTTGGGCTCGGGAGCCAGACCACCCGGGCTTCCACCCAGGCTCTGCCAATTTACTTGGGCAAGGTACTTGTTATCTCCCTCGTTTGGCATGAATGGTACTCAATTCACAGATTACAGGAAGCAGCACTTGACTCACTGAAGGAGTAGAGAAAAAATGTATCAAGTGCTTAGCACTGAATTTTTTTAATTATTATTATTTTTTTTTTTTGAGGCAGCGAGAGCTCCCATCTACTGGTTCACTCCCTAGGAGCCAGAAGCCCAATTACTGGGGCCATCCCCTCTGCCTCCTAGGGTCTGCATTAGCAGGAAGCTGGAGCCAGGAGCCAGGAATCAAACCCGCGCATGATGAGGAATGTGGCCTCCTAACTCCTAGGCTGAACACCTACTCTATTTTAGATTTTTTTAAAAGCTCGCCCACAAAAACCTTAGATTTTATCTTGATGGTTACAATACAAAAAGAGAATTGCCTAGAAGTGGGAAATGCTGAAGAGACCTTGCTAATGAAATGATCCAAAACATTTCAGGAGCTGGTGCTGTGGCATAGCGGGTAGAGCCACCGCCTGCAGTGCCAGCATCCCGCATGGGCGCTGGTTAGAGCCCGGGCTGCTCCACTTCTGATCAACTCCCTGCTATGGCCTGGGAAAGCAGAAGATTGCTCCTTGGGCCCCTGCACCCACGTGGGAGCCCCGGAGGAAGCTCCTGGCTCCTGGCTCCGGATTGGCTCAGCTCCAGCCTTTGTGGCCTTTTGGGGAGTGAACCAGCAGATGGAAAACCTCTCTCTCTCTGCCTCTCTGTGACTCTGCTTTTCAAATCAATAAAAATCTTTACAAAAAAATACATTTCAAAGTAGAAGCTATTATTCTATGCCAATTTTTTAAAAGTAGAAATTGGAAATGTTGTATTTTGTACTCTTCTTTTCTTGCAGGATCCTGGACTCTAGGCCGTGACTCCATTTCCCTTTTCAATTGAAATATATTAACAAGCCTGAGTCTGAGAGAGCAGCTCAGACCCTCAGTCAGGTCTCCTGACGCGGGCCAGCTGTCTGCTGGCCCCGTGTTCCTGCGCCTGGTGCGTGGGGTTGAAGGCTGAACTGCCTCCAGCAACTCCAGCACAGTCAGTTTTTGCTTAAATTTGTAAAAGGAGACCTCTCAGAAATGTCCCAAGTAACAGGAAACAATGAACCTGATGATCCAGAATAAAAGGCAGGATTTGTAGGAAAACTGTAATAGTAACAGTACTAGCAACAAATGAGTAACTGAGTAACTGAATCCTAGACACGGGAATCAGTTTGGAAAGATCTCCCAGTTCTACCCTTGAGGGGCGTACTCACTTGTGTAACTGAAGGCTCACACTGCTCTGTGCAACAGACTGTATCCAACTCGGCAGGTTCTATACAAGCCATTTATTTGAAATGCCAACTATACGGAGGATAAAGTCAGTGTTACATGCTTATCAGTAACAGTAGAAAAATAGAACCAGTGAAAACCTCTGTACAACTGCAATGGTACTCAAAAGAGAAATGTATCGTTTTACAATGCTTCACACAGACGAATTCAAGTTTGGAGGTACCTAAATAAAAATACTATATATTTCTTTAAAAAACACTATGTACAATTGAAGCGTAAACAAGTCTTACAAAGTACTGGTTATGCAGGTTGTAGAAAACACTTGCATAGGACATGAAATCAGGTTAAGAAAAATTTCTGAGCCTTTAGCATTGAAGGCACTTGACTTTATACCAGTTAACAGCACAACCACAGAAATGCAGAGTTGAAGACCCCACCTCTGGGAAGTAAGTGTGGATGCGAACGCACACGGCAGGTGGAGTTCAGGAACCTAAATCAGCCGCCCGCCTGAGGGCAGGACTCTGGATCGCCTGCCCAGCTAACTCAGGTGCACGGTCACGGGCAGGAGTGCATGGAGCTTCCCTGGTCTCAGACAGAAGCCACACGAACACAAGAGGCTGTGTTCCAGAGACACACCTGTGAGTGAGCTTTCTACAGAAACAGCCACAGCGTTATAATATTCAGAAGATGGAAGAGGGATGTGTAGTCAGACTTTTTCTAGAGGCAAAAAAAAAAAAAAAGAGAGAGAGAGAGAAAGAGAAAGAGAGAAAGAAGAGTGAGAAAGAAAAAAGAAAAAAAAAAAACCAAAGTTATTGCCCAGGCGGTAACTACGTAACAGTTATCGCGCGAGAGATGACAGAAAAGACAGTGTTTTATAAAAAAACTGTTCATACGACAGGGTTCATGGAGAAGAGTTAACAGTAAAATTCTTTGCGTGGTGTGCACGGTAACTCTCTCAGTAAGATTATCTGTGATGAGGTTTCAAAGCCAATCAGCTAGTGGACGAAGCAGACCACCGCAGACCGGGAACAGCACCCAGCGCTGCTGCTTCCCCAGTGACTGCACAGAGGGGCACGGGAGGCCTTCCCTCTGAGCTCAGCCCCAAGACCCAAGCAGCTCGGGCAACGCGACTCCCAAAGGCGAACCTGACCTCGGGAAAACCTCTATCGTGTCGAGCAGTGACGGAGAAATGTGACTCCTTCAGCCCTCGCACACGGCCTGGAGGTGGGCTTCTGAGCGAGCCCCTGCCCCTCGCCCTCCTGTGCCCACTGCTAGCAGCTGAACCAGGGCTGAAAGAAACCCAGTCAAGGACGCCAGCCGCAACCAGGACAGGACTGGAGGAGCGAGAGACGGGTAGTTTCATAGTGTTTTCTACGAGAACAGCAGAATACTTAAAAACTCACTAAAAACCCTTGAAGCCCAACAAGTGACGGATGTGCTGGGCTGGCTCGGGTCTAGGCACACGTGCCTGGAAAGGAAGGAAAGGGGTGTGGGAGGACGGCGTGGCGCACAGGAAACCCGAGCCCCACGCTCCAGGGCTTGTCTTTCCTGCTGCTGCTTTCTTCCCTGGGAGCCACGGGGGACTCTGAACTTAAATTACTCATCAAAACCACGCAAGGAAAACAAGATTAAGAAAACACCTCCAGCACCTTTAAGGAACCTGGATCTTTGCACGACGGTGTCTAGACAGGTCGTCCTAACACCAGCACGGGGCGGGCACTGGAAGCGGCGATTGTCCCAATGGCCTGATTGTCCACGGCCTCAAAAGGAGATCTGGTTTACTTCTGTGATTTGGTTCCCATTAAATTTCTATACCAGGTAAAACGCCAGTTCCCGGGCCTACACAGTATATTATACGCAGATCTAGACTTCTTAAGGGAGCAGCCTTACTCAGACTTGGCATTTCTCTCTGAACAGCATTTTAGAGAGATGTGATAGGTGGATTCCAAAACCAGAGGCACGTACGTAGCTATGTTCACCTTACCCTATTCACCACACTTCACAAGACCTAGCAGAAGTACACTAACACCTACCCTAAAGCATACAAAACCCACGTGATTACCTTCTGCACGTCACAGCGGCCCACAATCCCCCAGACCAGAGCGGGTTCTCCCTCTATACACAGTTTAGCCAGGTAAACTACTAAGTTATTAAAAGTGAACTTGGTAAGTTAAATAATATTCTAAACAGTGGCCAAAATTTATAAATTTGGGGGACATGAAAGGATATTTAAGGACTTTTCAGAAAAACCAACATGTGAGACCCAACAGTCCTGGTCTAACACACGGGAATAAATCAGAAACAGAGACAGAGCAGGTCTCGCCTGCCCACACCGCGTCGGCAGCACCAGCGCAGCAGTCTGACTCAGAAGAGGAGTCGAAGCTTTGATCAGAACAATTCGCGTGGACACATGCACACAAACACTTATTAAGCAACACAATGGAACGAACAACTTGTGTTTCTGCAGACGGAAACTGGGCTTTCAGAGACACCCGCGTCTGCTGGAGCCAGAGTTAAGCCTCTTCGAACTGAGAACGGAGGCTTGAGTCTTTCTCTTAAAGAAAGAGCCCTGCGGGTGCTGTGCAGCCGACCCTGCGGCGGCTCGCTGTGTCCCCGGCAAGGCCGGCGCTCGGGACGCGAGGTCACCACCGTCCACAGACGCACCCGCGGAGCTGGCGGGGCGGCGGCCGCCAGTGGTACAGACACACTGACGAGTGCCCATCTTTGACACTATCTATTGTCACGCGTTCTTAAAATGTCACGTAATTCCTGAGTGTATATCCACAGGGTAAAGTAGGAAAAGACTGTAAGAGAAACTACAGTTTTGGGAGAAATCAAGAGTTGGTGACACCCAATAGAAATCTATTACTTCAAAGTGCACGTATTTCATGTATGTGGTAGCTTGTAACGGCTCCCTAGCCCTGCATAGTTTGAGAGTGAGTCTGAGTGATTCCGTTTGTACATAAACATATAGAGAAGAGGCTCCAGAATCTTCCTCGGAGCTAAGCTTCTGAAAGTCTCTTTCCTGCTAAGTGCTACGGCTGTGTGTGTATGCGTCTGGAAAATACAAAGTAGGTGCTCAAATAATGTTGAGGTGATTTAAAAACTCAAACACTACCATATTTACATCGGAGTGTTAGGAAAAGAACAGTCCTCAGCTTACGCATGGCCCTTCAAGGGAGAGGGTCTGAGGAGACCCCATGTGCTCAGTGGTTCAGTAAATGCCAAACCAGCATCCCCACTGGAGTTCAAGTAGGACACGCAGTGTGTACCTGAAAACAAATGTCGCCATCTTCTTTTTGTTTTTTGGTGACAAAGCATTACACAACTTTTTAAAGGACACCAAAATTCCGACAAACTTTGGAAAACGTACGGAACACAACATACACTTACAAACACCAAATGACATGGTGAGACTGAAGCCCTTTTGCTTTGCTGTTTTCCCACAGAGAGAGCAAGACAACCGAAGGCAGCAGGCAGCAGGCAGTCCCTCCTCCGGGCAGCTGAGTCCACGCGCAGCAGGAGCCACGCCGGGGCGACCTCTTCCACCAGAGCCTGAGAGTGACGCTCCATCCGCAGCCCAGGGCCCGCAGCGATCCCGACGGCGTCCGTGCTGGGACGCCCGGCCTTGCTCCTCCCTGTCCTTCACTGAGCCAGGACACCTCAGGACCCTGGCTGGCCCCTGATGGAGCAGGGAGGACCAGCTCCCAAGACTTACTGAGAAAGAACGACATTAGGTTTATGGAGATTGAGCACGGGGATCTCTGAACTCAAACAACTACTGAGAAAAGCATTGTGATGTGCTGTTCTTTGGAATTTCTATAATTAAAAAATAAACACAGACTATTTTATAAGAAAATACATCTCGGTGTGCAACCCAATGCACGTGGAAATTGGTAGATGAAAGATAAAATGCAAAAAAGTATGAAAATACAGTCCTTTAAATGTGGCAATAAATTTTAACATACTGATATAAAATCAATACAGGTAAAATGTACAAGTGCAAAAAAAAATCCATCATTTTGAAAAGAGGAAAAAAAGTGCCAGCTTGCTTGCTTGCTTCCCCGAACGATCGCTCGAACACAGACAGGCAGACGCAGCACTCGGCAGCCGCGTCTCACACGCGCACACAGACACAGGTACAGGATGTGGACCGGAGGGGTCAGCTGGCGCCGAGACTGCTCTGCGAGCTGCCGGCTTCCGTCACCCACGCGCACGCCGCGCTCCGCGGGCGCGGCTCTCAGAGGGCAGACTTTCGGTAGAGGAAGTCGGGCTTGCTGGGTGACCTCCTGCCTCTGCTCACCGAATCCTCCCTCTCCAGGTCTGCACTTCGCGGCGCTCCAGGGCCCAGGGCCTCACTGTCTGCCAGTCTTCTACTGGATCTCTCTTCTGGCGCGTCAGAGCTGCTGCACGCAGAGTGTGCAGAAGGTCTGTTGGGAGTGAGCCCAAAGGTCAAGTCTGTTTCTACCGTGGATCGTCCCCTGGCGTGGGCTGGGCCGCTGCCGGCACTTTCTGGGGCCGCCAAAGCGCAGTCTGCCCGCGGGGGAGGCTGCGCGACAACATCCAGGCGGATGGGCTCACTCTTCTGCCGGGGAAGGTGCCCGTCAGGGGAGAGCGGGGACTCTCTCCTAGCTTCCTCCTGCTTCTGCGGAGAGCTCTGGCTGGGTGCGTAGGCTGACTTTAAGCCACTTGGTGATGCCGTGCTGTGGCTGTACAGGTCAGGACCGAAATACCCACCTGGTGAGGGGGAGGGGGTCCGTGTGCCAGGCGCAGGGGTGGAAGGCCTGCAAGCAGCGCTGGAGAAGTCGTAGAAATCCGGGTATTCCTGCTGATGCTCTCGGGCGTCTGCTTTTTGCTCTAGTGTGTGTTTCTTTCGAGAAGTGTGTGCGTGCCTCTGTGACATACATGAGAGAGGCTGAGGAGGCCCGGGCCCTGCTTCGGACACCGACTGGCTTAGCTCCGTGTCCACTGCCAGCTCTGGAAGCCTCCTGTCCTTCAGCGACAGCGTGGACACACCCATGGCAATGTCCGGCATCAGGTCGTTCAGCACAGGCTGTGCACCCTGTGGACACAAACCAAGGGGCAGGGGTGAGCAAAAGGGCGCACGGATGCCTTGCTGGGAGAACGCTGGCTGCTGCTTCCGTTTCCTGATTATAAAAGTGACTCGTGCTTACTTTCAAGAATGACAGAAATGCAGGTGACCGTAAAGAAAGAAAAAAAAACCTACCCTAACCTTCCCTCAGGGTAACCACTGTCGGCGTTCTGGGGTATTTCTCTCATCTTTTATTTCTCTGCACGTATATTAATTTTCACAAAGTTTCACTCTCCTGTTACCGGACACATAGGTGGTTTCCAATTTTTCATTATTATAATCAAAACTACCACGAACATACAAGTAAAATGCCCTCTGGGGACTTTTACTGCAGAACTTGGGCCAGGCCAGCAGGATGGGCACTGGGCTTATCAAACAGTAGCGAGTGCGACTGCTGGGGCGCGGCAGCAGGGAGGGGGGGACAGCAGGGCGGGCGAGGAGGGGAGGGAGGGCCATACCCGGACTCGAGCGTGCACTAGTCCGTGGCTATCAGTAAGCCGCACTTTAATGGGGCAGCCCCTAATTCACAGCTGTAACTTCTGTTTCTCTCTCTATTGAATGCTACTGATAGCATGGGACTGTGTAGAGAAGGAAGACTTAAAAATCATTATTTTTTTTCCAATGTATCATTTAAAACACAAGTCTGACCTCAAATGCTGTGCAAAGTCAGGCGAGGAGGCCTCTCTTCACGTCCCTTTGACCTGCCCTGCATCTGAGCTCCCGGACTAGGGGCTGAAGGCCGAGCAGCCCAGGGGTGCAGCCGAGCACGAGGCCCAACTGCTGCCCATCCTCTGCCCTGTCCTGTCTTGTGCTATCACAGCATCGGTGCGTAGCTTCTACAGAACCGCTGTGCAACAGGTCTGTGCACTTGCTCTACTCGGTGACCCCATTCCTCCTCACGCCGGGCCAGGGACCCCGAGATGGGGGACGCTCGGCTGCTCCCACCGCACACCCCTCACGTCTCTCTCCTGGGCTTTCTTCACGTCCACGTCTGGTTTTCCTCTGTTCTCCGTACCCCTCACAGGGATCCTTTCAATCTCAGGGACACTGCAGAGCACTCCTGAGTCTCGGGGCGGCTCTCGCGCCAAGGGGACCGCTCTGAAGATTCCCTGAACTTCCCGTCTTGGCCAAGTTACTCGAGGGTTCACTTACCACTTGCTTCTCCGCCGTCCCCGCCGCAGAGGCGGCAGCAGCAGCGGCGGCGACTGTCTGTCTCCCCAGCCCGGGGACGGCGGTGCAGTCAGGTGGTGCCGCTTTAACACCTGGCAGGTAGACGGGGGGCGGGCCAGCTTTAGGAGCTGTTCTAGAGTGAGACAGTGATGGATTGCAAGGGTAAGAAAAAGATCGGGAAGGGTGCTGGCTCGGAGGTCTCTGCTTCCAGCCTGCTTTGAGCTGGTTATGGATTGGGGTAGCGGGGGGGTGGTAGGGAGGGGGAGGAGGCGGCAAGGGTGGACGGAAGGCCACGAAAGAGTCCAGCTCTGTAAACATGGTCTCTGCAGCAGGGGTGCTGTTAACACGACATCTCCCGGGCTGTCTCACTGTCAAGAGTGGGCTTTCGTCTCCAAAACGTTCATCAGGAAAGAACTTGTGAGGATTCTGAAAAGATCAAAAACAGTTAGGAATTTATTAGTGGTTTCATAGATGGAAATTTACAGGCTGAGAAAATCAAGAAAAGTATCTAAGAAAACAGTCAGCAAGAGTAAAAGGCACAGCACAGTTTTCTAGGACAGAAGCCCAAGAGAAGATGACCTTAATCACAAGTACAAAGGGACACAGTACAGCCCAGGCAGCAGAGGACACAGCTACCAAGGACAGCTGCTCAACTGAACACCCCGACAATCGGTCATCTCTTGCAAGACTATGTGACAATGCAAAAACAGGCAATAAATCCTAATTCAGGAATGTCTTTGCTAAGAGAATAAGACTGACATTAAAATCAAAGAAAGAAAAGGTGTGCCACTGAGGACCCCCCAGAAAGTTTGACAAGGATCCATAAACACTCTGTCCACAGAACACTGTTCCTTACCTATGACATGGTTGATTGCTGTTTTGATAAACATTGTAAGAATAGCTATCTTCATACAATTTAAGACACCAAATTAAGATACAATTTAAGATGGCAAAAGGAATAAAATGAATTGAAAACCAGAGTATGTAATGTATTTTAGAGATGGAAACCATAGCAAAAACAAAAATTAAGAACCTAAAAATGGGCCAGTGCTGTGGCGTAGTGGGTTAAGCTGCTACCTGCGATGCCAACATCCATATTGGGTGCTGGTTCAAGTCCCAGCTAATCCATTTCCGATCCAGCTTCCTACTAAGGGCCTGGGAAGGCACTGGAGGATGGCCCAAGTGCTTGGGGCCTATACCCATGTGGGAGACTCAGAAGAAGCTCCTGACTCCTGGTTTCAGGCTGGCCCAGCCCTGGCCATTGTGGCCATTTGGGGAGTGACCCTAGTGAATGGACGATTTCTCTCTCTCTCTGTTTCTCCCTATCTCTGTAACTCTGCCTTTCAATTAAATAATTAAAAAAACAGCCTAGTGACTTGCCAAACAACACTGTATTCACACTCACCCTTTGAAAACGTAAAGGCTAAAGGAATGTGAAGTCAGCAGCCAGAAAATTGTAGATTCTGTGACTGGATGAAATTCAGCGGCCGTGACCAGCAAGCTTATCAGTTCTATTTTAGTTGTAAAGGACAGTTCTCGCACTTACACCTAATCATTACTACAAACGAAAGGAAACCAAAAACCCCACCCCTTCCTTGATTCTCATGCTTGGGTTTGACCCTCGCTGCAGCAGTTCTTCCCTGGGAGAGAAGGGGAAGGGTGTCTGGAAGATGTCCACGGGGAGGGGACCAAGTCCGAGCCCAAGTGAGCACTCCAGCGACAGCAGGGCAGGCGCGGCGTCGCCTGCGAGACCCGCACACCAGGAACTTCTCAGCAGTCTCCATTTGCGTGCTTGTCAGGCACAGGTACAGCGGCTCTAGACAGCGCCTGGCATGGTCCTAACAACCCACTTTGCAGTGACTCAGTTACTTATTCTCAGTTCACCCAGCAGTAAGCAGCCAGGCTGGCTCGTGCTGCAGAACTGTGTCCTGGTCACTCCACTGTACCGTCTCTCCCCAAGAGGCCCCCACAGTTATGAAAGACACTAGAGGAGTCAGAGGGCCCCCTGTGATGTCTCAAACGCTGCCGGGCTGCCGGTCAGGGCTCCCTGCAGGGACCGGCTCAGAGTGTGTACTACCTGCAAGAGCTCTGCGGCGGCATCTGCAAGCCCAAACTCCCGCAGCACTCGGATCTGAATCTCATAGCTGACGGTGGCGCCTTCCCCGCAGTTGAGCGCGTAAGCTCTCTGCACCTGCTCCGTGTGCCGCAGCTCCTGCAGCCTTCTGACCATGTCCTTCATGATGAGCAGCCGAGGAACTGGAGGAGAAGACAGTGAGCGGACAAAATCTCCATCTCCACAAAGGACCGCCCAAGCAAGCGTGAGGAAAAAATCTTCCTATATATATTTTTATATAGTATTTCAATTTCCTGGCAACACATTAATCTATATGCCTCTGATTTATTTCTTAAGGTTTTAAAACTTCACTGTGCTAATGGCTCAGAACAGCTCCTGAGTTGTATTACTTCATCAGGGTGGCGAAAAGTCCAGCCCGTGGGCCATATAAGGCTTACAAAATCATTTGGTCTGGCTCTGCTAAGGCAACCAACTGCGGGCAGGAATTCAACAAATCTGTAACAAGCTAATTTTAAGCTGACCATTTTGTATGGCCCATGAATGATGTTATAAATATACAATGGCCCTTGCCAGAAAGCAGGTCCCCCACTCCGGCTTTAGTTCATAGCTCAAGTGAACTTTTCCTTTTCCTTGCACATAGTCTCTGAAGCTCAGGGTATTTACAAAGTCTTTTAAATATATTTATTATTTTTTAAACTAATTTTTGGAGCCTGACTATGCACCAGGGATGAATCTGGGCATTAGTTGTATGGAATGAAAAACATAATCCCTGGTCTCAAAAAGCCGTGGCTTTGGAGCCAGCACCGTCGCATGGCGGGTTAAGCTGCCGCCTGCGATGCTGCCATCCCACACTGGAGTGCTGCTTTGAGTGCCAGCTGCTCTGCTTCTGATTCAGCTCCCTACGAATACGCCTGGGAAAGCGGAAGACGGCCCACGTGCTTGGGCCCCTGCCATTCCCAAGGGAGACCAAGATGGAGCTGTGTTCCTGTTTTAGACCTGGCCCAACCCTGGCTGCTGCGGCCAATTGAGGAGTGAACCAGTGATGGAAGCCGCCCCCGCCCCCCCCATGTTACTCAGGCTTTCAAATAAATTAAAAAACAAAACAAAACCTCTGGCTTTGGTGATGTGATGAAGTAAACGAGAACAGTACAACGTCACAAATGTGCATGGAAAAATCTATACAAAGGATCCTAAAATGATCTGGAGGAAGAGGCACCTTGTCCAGACTGGGGGTAGAGAGGAGGGACTTCCTAGGTAAGGTGGACCCAAGCACACCCTTGATGAAGGAGAATCAGGCACACAGGAGGTGCAGGTATGTGTGAAACACGCAGGGGAAAGACAACAGGGCCCAAGTAGCTGACACAGGCAGGAGAACTCAGGAACAGTGTTCAGAGAGGAGGCCACAGAGACGGGCAGGGGAAAGATTACACATGAAGAACGTGAAGGGCATCCCATCTGCACAGGTGGTTGCTTGTGCAGGCGATGGCAGGGTCAGAGCGTGAGTCAGGAAGCGGACTCTGACACTAGGTGCAGGGCAGGGAGGGCAAAGTGGCCAGAGGGAAATCAAGCCCATCCCTACCTCCATGGGCAGCTTTTCTCACTCATTAGCTAAGAATTGTCCAAGACCACTGCCTGAGAGTTTAAGTAGTTGCAGTAGAGCCTCTATGGCTCACAAAAACTAAAATAAGAATTCTTTGGCACTACACAGAAAGTGTCCAACCCCTGGTGTAAAGTTCAGAATGGAAGCGAGTTGACGAGAGGCAGCAACACCAGTCAGGAACCTGAGCTAGGGCTGGGGCAGAGGGGAAGAAGTCCATATATATTTATGACAACAGATTTGGTGACTGATTATTATTTTTTTGGGGAAAACCAGAGCTAGCACTTTTTATTTTAAAGATTTATTTATTTTACTTGAAAGTCACAGTTACCCAGAGAGAGAAAGAGAGGCAGAGGAAGGAGAGAGAAAGGTCTTTCATCTGCTGGTTCACTCCCCAGATGGCCGGAGCTGCACTGATCCAAAGCCAGAAGTCCGGGTCTCGGACATGGGTGCAGGGGTCCAAGGACTTGGGCCATCTTCTATTGCTTTCCCACGCCACAGCAGAGAGCTGGATCGGAAGAGGAGCAGCCAGGTCTCGAACCGGTGCCCATATGGGAAGCCAGCACTGCAGGTGGCGGCCTTACAGCTACACCACAGCGCCAACCCCGAAGCTAGCACTTTTTGAGGCCTCACTGTGTGCCAGGCCATCTCCTAAGCATGGTGATCATTCAGTGCTCACGGCAACCCTGGAAGGGAGATACCGTGCCCACTCCACCGATGAGGAAATCAATGTTCAGGGAAGAAAACAGCTTGGCCAAAGTCGTACAAATGAAGTGGCAGCAACAGGATGTGAGTCCGGGGCTTCTTGGCCTTTCATTAGAGCATGCTGGGCAAGGACATGAGGAGAACCTGGGATGCCGCACAACAGATACGGGCTTGTTTCCCTGAGCACATCTGCTCTGAGAGTCTTTAGGTTTTGGAGGCTAAGTTCTAAGATTAAATCCTGCTGATATTCAATTGCATTAATTCAGGCTAAAAAAATAAAAAAACCAGTGCTCATTAACAAAGTTTCAAAATCTGCACAAATCAGCTAAAGAAATACTTCTCTTCATACTGCCACTCAATGTCTCCTTTAAGCAAACATGTAGTGGCCAAATCTGATAAGGCAACAGCTGATGAAAGACATCAGTCTGAATATAAAGTGAATACATTCGATGAAAAATTGTCATGTGTCCTATTTTTATTTTTTAGTTTATTATTTTTTAAAAAGATTTATTTATTTATTTAAAAGTCAGAGTTACAGAGAGAGATGGGGAGACTGAGAGAGGGCTTCCACTTGCTGGTCACTCTGTAATGGCCAGGGCTGAGCCCAGCGAGGCCAGGAGGCAGCAGCTTCATCTGGGTCTCCCACATGAGTGGCAGGGGACTAAGCACTCTGTCCATCTTCCGTTGCTTTTCCCAGGCCATTAGCAGGGAGATGGATTGGAAGTGGAGTAGTCGGGACCTGAACTGGAGGCCAAATGAGACACTGGTGTTGCAGGTGGCGTTTTTATCCACTACACAAAATTCTGGCTATCTTTTATCTTTAATTAAAACAGACATTTAGAGCAGAAATGAATGGTGCTATTTACACTGCTGGGATTTGCTGGTTTTATTTTTTATCTTACAATAGTAGTTGTCAAGAGCTATAGAGTTCTAACCACCAGACACCTGTTTTCCTGACTTTAGAAATTTACAGTCGGAGTTCTTTGGTTGAAGTCAACATTCACTGGTTCTCAGATGTTTCTGGACATGACAGTCAAGCCTCTACCTCAGGCAATTCCCCCAGAGCTCAGCAAACTTCACAGAGATTGTGTGGATCTGGACCCCTAGGGAGCCATCACGACCACACCTGGGGCACAGGCAGACACGAGTGCAGGCTCGTCCTGCCCTCCCAGGCTCTGATGTGAGAAAAGCCCCTGCGACAATGAACAATCTGAATTCCTCTCAAACAGTGTTTCTCAACAGCGATGATTTTGCCCCAGCAGCACATCTGGCATGTCCAGAAATAGAAAAACCTTTCCAAACGGCTGTTACACAGGGGCAGGCCTACGTCTCCCAGCAGAGTGCCTGGGTTTGACTCCCAGCTTCCTGCTAATGCAGATCATGGGAGACAGTGATGATGGCTCAAGTAACTGGGTTCTAGCGAACCGTGTGGGAGACCTCGACTGAGTTACGGGCCCGTTCCTCAGCTGTTGGGGGGCATTTGCAGAACAAATCAGCAGATGAGAGCTCTGTCTCTCTGTATAAGCCTCTCTCTCTGCCTCTCCAACAAATAACAGAAATACAAGTGAAAAAACACGGGGGGTGCTTGGCACAGCGGTTAGGTCCCTGCTCGGGATGCCGACATTTCACATTGAGTGCTAGGTTTGAGTTCCTTGCTTCTCTGCCTCTGAGCCAGCTTCCTGCTAATGCACGCCCTGGGGGACAGCAGGTGACAGCTCAAGTTCTTGGGTCCCTGTCACCACAGGAGACCCAGACGGAGTTCTGGGCTCCTGGCTTTGGCTTGGCCCAGCACTGGCTGTTGCAGGCATTTGGAGAGCGAATAAAGATAGAAGATCTCTCTCTCTCTCAATCTGCCTTTCAAGTAAAACAAATAAATACAAATTTAAAAAGAAAAGACAAAAAGAATTACTCAGCTTTTAATTTTCAATAAGGCTAAAGTTGAGAAAACCTGGGCTAAACCTTGAAAAACTATGTTCATTTATGTACATTAACATAAAATAAAAACCAATATTCTTAACGTTACAACTATTCATTCCTTAATAACAATGCATCTGAAAGGTGGCAAGTTAGCATATACAAAACAATTATAAAAAACAGTAAGATTATTCATTTAAATGCAAACGCCTGATAAATGGCGACTGTCTCACCTGGGATTTCATTGGCGACCACGGAAGGAGGGCTGGACTGGTTGCTACTGATCTGCTGGTGGCTGATCACGTGACAGCACTGTGGGACAGCATTGTTGACCATGTACAGCGTGTCTGGCACATTGGACATTCTGACCATTCGCAAACGCACCAGATCTGTCTGCTCCACCATCATTTCATCTAGCACCGACTGAAACAGCCAATCAACAGACCCCGTCAACCCCCGTAGTGAAGCGCATGTGGGAAAGATGGCTACCTTCACCACATAAAAAGGGAATCAAGCTACTCTTTCTAACTTTTGAAGTTCAAAATTAGCAGTGAAAGAAGAAAGTATCACTGCTTCTTTAATTTTTTATCTTTTTGGTGCATCCTTGAAAAAATATAAACATCTTTTGAAAAGTTGGCTTTTAATCAGAAGTATTTGGAATTTTAAAGGAAGACACAAAATTAAGAAGAAACCAAGTATTATAAGGAAAACAACCCATACATGTGCTAATTATCAAACCTAAAAAATCAAAATACACAATATTTTTCTGAATTAAATACAAGGTTCAATTTGGATCGAGTCTCAGGTTTTAAACAAAACCAAAAACTATTTTTCCAATATTACTTTTTATTTTTTATTTTTTTTATTTTTATTTATTTTTTTATTTTTTATTTTTTGACAGGCAGAGTGGACAGTGAGAGAGAGAGACAGAGAGAAAGGTCTTCCTTTGCCGTTGGTTCACCCTCCAGTGGCTGCCGCGGCCGGCGCGCTGCGGCCGGCGCACCGCGCTGATCCGATGGCAGGAGCCAGCAGCCAGGTACTTTTCCTGGTCTCCCATGGGGTGCAGGGCCCAAGCACCTGGGCCATCCTCCACTGCACTCCCTGGCCACAGCAGAGGGCTGGCCTGGAAGAGGGGCAACCGGGACTAGAACCCGGTGTGCCGGCGCCGCTAGGCGGAGGATTAGCCTAGTGAGCCGCGGCGCCGGCCCCCAATATTACTTTTGCCAGCTACTATGGAGATATTTTACAAGAGATCATGGCTTTTCTTTATTTTATGAAGCAAGACAAAAATGTCTACCATCTTTGAGAACAGTCCACCATCCTCAAGATCACAACACACTCAGTAAGACGTAACCATATGTGCAAGGCAAACAAGATGAGGAAAATGTAAAACGCATCTCAGTCTGACTCAGGTTTTAAACATGCTTGATAATGGAACAACTCAGAAAACCACTCTGTCGAGTAGTCGAACCATTACTTATTTTCATTTTCCCTATCACTGGGTATTTAGGCTTTTTCCAGTTAAACACTTCTGGGCACGGGTTCAATGACACTGTCTAAAGTACTCAAATGGCTTTTGTACCTTTGCTTCTTCCACGTAGGGAGAGAACAGTCGAGGACGAACATAAATGCCGGCATTTTTTTGCCGTAACCAGGCATTTGACTTTCCACCTTCGGTCGTAGGAAGCATATCTGATGGAGGAGTACTAATCAAGCCTCTTTTCATCTTAAAAAAAAAAAAAAATTGTTTTGATAAACTAGAGATCTGTGTAGACTGCAGTACCATTAAGATATCAGTTGGGAGCATACGGAGATGCAAGCCACAATACCTAAGGGAAGGCTCAGTAAGACAAAGCAGCTATTCAACAACAGTTTTCCAAAATGACTTGTGCTTGACACCAACTGGGCTAACCTTATTACATCATTTCTTAGAGTCTATGATATACAAATAAAAACATTTTCCTTGTATCTTAAAAGACTAAGATACAAATACAATTAAAAATGCACAAAATTTACCAATTAATAAAAATTTAAGAACATATGTGACATTCAAAAATACCTTAAATGTTTACTAGTATTTAAAGGATTTAGCAATAAAAACATATTGTAACTCCAAGTTTTCTCTAAATAGAGAAATGTTTTTAAAAAGAGACCTGTTAATTAAAATGGAATTAGTCTGACCAACTTTCAGAACGTGTAACGAAACTTGATTTTTTATTTTTTTCCTGGCTCATCTAGAACTGATTTCATCGCCGCCTTCGCCCTCCACCAAACGAAGCAAGAACATCTGACCAGGCTCGTGTCTGCACGAGAGCACAGCGCTCAGCAGTGTGGGCTTCAGAGGAAGGCAGACTTGGCTTCATTCCGACTCCCACTCAACAGCCAAGTGACCACGGGCATCTGGTCTTAGCTGGGCCTCACTCTATGAGCTCCTGCGTGGCCCTGGACGCAGGGCACTCACAACTGAATGTGGTGGCCCTGATGCTTCCTCATGGATGGTAGGACAACATAAATCAAGTCCTATGGTTCCCACAGTGGTTTTAGGCATTAAGGTGAACAGTCATTATGAGCAAACTTCTCCTGGGGACTCACTGGGCTAGAAAGGGATGAAGAGCAGAGAGGGGTACTTTCTGGCCATAGTTCTAAAATATTTTTCTGAGCAAAATACAAGGTTCAATTTGGATTGAACCACACATTGTTTTCCCAATATTACTTTTGTTAAATATAAACAGGGGCTGGCGCTGTGTTGTAGTAGGTAAAATTGCCACCTGCGGTGCTGGCATCCCATATGGGCACCAGTTTGCATCCTGGCTTCTCCACTTCCAATCTGTCTCCCTGCTAATGTGCCTGGAAAAGCAGTGGAAGATGGCCTGAGTGCTTAGACCCCTGCAGCCAAGTGGGAAACCTGGAAGAAGTTCCTAGCTCCTGGCTTTGGATCAGCCCAGCTCCAGCTGTTGCAGCCATTTGCAGATTGAACCAATGGTTGGAAGATCTTTGTCTCTCCCTCCCCTTCTCTCTCTCTGTAACTCTGCCTTTAAAATAAATAAATAAATCTTTATGAAAAAAAAATCATAAACATCGGCCAGCGCCGCGGCTTAACAGGCTAATCCTCCGCCTTGTGGCACCGGCACCCCGGGTTCTAGTCCCGGTCGGGGCGCTGGATTCTGTCCCGGTTGCCCCTCTTCCAGGCCAGCTCTCTGCTGTGGCCCAGGAGTGCAGTGGAGGATGGCCCAGGTCCTTGGGCCCTGCACCCCATGGGAGACCAGGAGAAGCACCTGGCTCCTGGCTTCGGATCACCCCACTTGGGGGGTGAACCAACGGAAAAAGGAAGACCTTTCTCTCTGTCTCTCTCTCTCTCACTGTCTAACTCTGCTTGTCAAAAAAAAAAATCATTAAAAAAATCATAAACATCAAGTTGCTGAATTAAAATTATTTTTAATAAAACATAACATTACATGGTATTTAGAAAATAGAAACTCAATACCCTTATTATAACTGTAATAATAATAGGAGCCTGCACTGTGGGTCAGTAGGTTAGTCTTCCGCCTGCACCGCTGGCATCCCATATGGGTGCTGGTTCTAGTCCCAGCTGCTCCTCTTCTGATCCAGCTCTAAGCTGTGGCCTGGGAAAGCAGTAGAATATGGCCCAAGTCCATGGGCCCCTGCACCCGCATGGGAGACCAGGAAGGGGCTGGTCTGTTGCTGTCTCTATAACCATTGTTCAGAGCAGCAAGGTATTCTACTGAACACTTATAGTATAATTGTTTCTGATTTCTCGTTATTCAGAATTTTGCCTATATCCAAACAGTGAAATAATGCTAAACATCTTGTATACACACACAAGAGGTGAAAAATGAAAATTTATTGTTCTATTTGCTTTCTTCGGGGTGTGTGCTTATTAACAATGCTGAACATTTTTTCTAATCAGAGACTCCGTTAATACTTGTTTTCCTTTTGTTTCTGCATGTTTAAATTTAATACATAATTCTTCATTCTAACAGGGATTAATTTTTTGTGCAAATGCAACTTTAAATGAATTTCCTCCTCTCCCACTAATCAATGAATCTAGTACCACGCTTTTTAGTGACAGCTTATTTATGTTTATTATATTAATTAAGACTTTCTTCTGAGCTGTTTTGTCTTCTCTAGTATGCTAGCATTGCAGATTAAATATAAGTGTTTTACAGTAGTTTTTATATTCTAGAAGTTACGCTTCTTCATTATGTCTTTTAAAAATTTTTTAAAAGGATTTTATTTACTTATTTTAAAGTCAGAAATACAGAGAAGGAGAGAGAGAGAAATCCTCCATCCACTGGTTCACTCCCCAAATGGCCACAATGGCCAAGGCTGAGCCAGAATGAAGCCAGGAGCTTCTTCCGGGTCTCCCTCACGGGTGCAGGGGCCCAAGGACTTGGGGGTCATCTTCCACTGCTTTCCTAGGCGCATTAGCAAGAAGCTAGCTGGATCAGAAGTGGAGAAGCTGGGTCTCAAACTGGCACCCATATGGGATACCAGTGCTGCAGATGGAGACTTAACCTTCTATGCTACAGAGCCGGCCCTAGTTATGTCATTTTAAAAGAACTTAAAAAATAAAACTTGTGAGTTTGTTTTCCCAGATGACTTCCATAATGTTTCTATGCAGTTAAAAAATTGTACTATGATGACTGCAAGCATCATATAAGATTCATAAATCAATCAGTGAAGAACTAATATTCTGTCACACTTTAATTCAATCAATTATACTAGTCACCCAACCATATTAGTTTTTAAAACTTTAATTTTTTTAAAAAAATATAAAAGTAGTATGACCAGCTTGATTTATTTTCAGGTGGGTCTGAACTACAACCACAAGATCCATACACTGCTCTAAGACTGAATCAATAAGCCTTATGCTTTCTGACCCAGTGCATTCTTGAACAGTCTCCAAAAGTATAAAAGACTGCATTCACCTCCCGAGAAATGATGCTCCTGCAGAAGGAAGACCTCCCTATCCCTCGACCCACTCTCCTCCACCCACCATTCATCTGTGCGCTGTGACAGACACCTGGGGACACAGGATTAGACAAAACACACCCGAGTCCGTCCTCGTGGAATTTATAGCTTTGCAGTACTTCATTAGCAGCACAAATTATTTACAGTGACTAAAAGAAGAGGCAAGACTGGCATTTTTCTTTTCATGAGAGGAATAAATGAAGAAAGACGACACTTACTGCATCACTGAAGATTTCACTGTTTATAGGTAAGATGTGTTCAATTCGCACAAAGGGCAAGAGAGAAGAAAGGATCTCTCTCAGCTCTTCGATGTCCAGGTCCCGTCTTTTTACTCCTCTTTTGTTCACACTATGGGCAGTGCCACTCAGTAAGTTTGGCTCTAAGACCGAAAAAATGAAAATTCTCCAATCAAATTCAAATACCCAGAGACAGACTTTCTTCCTTCCCTTGTGCACACATTCTTGGCACCACTCTATATACGTCAGTACACCTGCTTTAAGAAAGATCACACATCAGCTCCTTTCCAGCCACAGGAAGTTTACTGAACAGAGGTGTTCTCGGAGAAAGAAACCATTGTAGCAGCAGTACACTAACATTCTTTTCTGATTGTTCTGCACTAAAGGATAAAGGATTCTTTTCTGGACACTGACTCAAAGGAGAAGTGATAACTTGGTAGTTAATCTGATCAAGGGTTTTTCTTAAACTTTTCAAATTTTAACAGTTTTTAGTACAATAAGGGCATGGCAAGGCATATGCTGTTTTCTGGTCACTATAGGTTATCGACATGTTCATTAAACTATTTTATGCTTAAAAGCAATTTAATGTATTTATCACTTGGTGCCCAAAGCAGCACAACCTAATGTGTACTCCAGTTTTAAGATTTTGATTAAGTCTCCTAAACTTCTGTGACATGGAAATATGACTGCCTAAACGTAGACCTTTTGACCTTTGAAATGTCCTGTATGTCCCTCCTGCAGGCCAGAAGATGAAGATTTCTTCACTGGGGATTAGTGCAAGAAGAGCTGAAGTATTCATGTGCTTATTGGATATTGAGGGAGGAAGAAAAATCACACAATTTTGAAAATTCTTGACCATGTTTTTAATCTAGAAGGCAGCAATGTTTTCTCAAAAACAAAGAAAAAAAGAAACCAAAACCACTGAATAAGATAATCATTCACAAATGCAAATGCTGGAGTTCTGCAAATATTCTATAGCCAAACTGCTATCCCCTTAAATCATGTGACTGACATACAGACATACATATACATACATATCTATACACGTACATATAAAATATACACATACATATAAGATAAATATATATGCATATATATAAGATTATATATACAGATAAATATAAGATATCCATGTATCTTAAACTGTTTTTAAAAGCTGAACATATTTACAGGGTACCTTGTATTGTTCAATACATGTCTGTTTTCAAGAAGTGAAGTTTATTCGGAGTCATTCAAAATAAAATTGTTCAAAGCATGTGGAAATTGGACTTTTTCCTTTGCCTTACTATGATTTAGTTTAATACTTACATAAGGCATTACCTTTTTTAAAAAAACTTTTTTTTTAAAGTAGTGGCATCCTGTTTTCATACGATATATCACACAAAACTCCCAAATGTACAAGTAAGGTCAAAACCTTTATATCCAAAGGTGATTGACACAAAGGGGTGGCTTGATGCTTTTAGCTTCATTATTATCCCTACAAAACCTACCATTCTAACCCATTTTGAAAAATATTATTATTATTATTATTTTTTTTTTTTTTTGACAGGCAGAGTGAACAGTGAGAGAGACAGAGAGAAAGGTCTTCCTTTGCCGTTGGTTCACCCTCCAATGGCCGCCGCGGCCAGTGCGCTGCGGCCAGTGCGCTGCAGCCGGCGCACCACGCTGATCCGAAGGCAGGAGCCAGGTGCTTCTCCTGGTCTCCCATGGGGTGCAGGGCCCAAGCACTTGGGCCATCCTCCACTGCACTGCCTGGCCACAGCAGAGAGCTGGCCTGGAAAAGGGGCAACCGGGACAGAACCCGGTGTGCCGGCGCCGCTAGGCGGAGGATTAGCCTAGTGAGCCGCGGCGCCGGCGAAAACTATTATTTTAAAAGAAACTTTATCACTCTAAGGATGCTTGTTATCTGCCCAAAATAAGTATAACATTTCATAATCACCAACCTTACACCAATGAACAAGTCTATGGCCTGTAATGATTATTACATTGTATTAATCAATTGTATACAATCAATTCTTGCTATTGCAGCAGTTACATTCTACAACGCTGACAAACAACAGAAGAGCAAACATGAGTGTACTTCAAATAGTTTGTAGAAAATGGAATTACAAGGTAAGTTTATTTTGGTGCAAAAAAATTTGAATCTGTCCATCTGAGGGCTCTTGAAATAGTTCATGGAAAACATATACTATGACAAAACTATGCACAGATTTCAAAATTTTTTATACCAAAATAAAATTACTTTAAAATATATACATATACTTATGTATTTGGAAGGCAGAGTGACATAAAGTGAGGGAGAGACAGAGAGAGAAAGATCTTCCATCCATTGGTTCACTTGCCAAATGGCCACAACAGCTCGGGTCAGGCCAGGCTAAAGCCAGAAGCCAGGAACTCCATGTCTTCTACCTGGGTGGCAAGAACTCACGCAACTGAGCCAACATCCGCTGCTTAGCAGTGAGCTGGATGACAGGTTAGCCGGGACTCACCAGTCTCCAAACAGGATACGGCTGTCCCAGGCTGCAGTTTACCCAGCTGTGCCACAAGATCTGCCCCTAAACTTACACTTTTTTAAAAAACAACAACAACAACAAAAAACACATAATTTATTTGAAAAGCAGAGTTATTGAGAGAGAGAGGGAGACAGAGATAGAAATAGAGAGAGAGAGAATTTCATCTGCTGGTTCACACCCCCAGTGACTCTAATAGGCAGCAGGGGTCAGACCAGGACAAGGCCAGGAGCCTGGAACTCCACCAGCATCTCCCACGCAGGAAGCAAGCGTCCAAGGACTTGGGACATCTTCCACTGCTTTCCCAGGCACACCAGCAGGGAGCTGGACTGAAAGTGGAGCAATCAGGCCTTGAACCAGTGCTCTGATAGGGGATGCCAGCATCACAGGCAGCAGCTTAACCTGCAATGCCAGAGTGCAGGCCCCTAAACTTCCATCTTTTAATTCCACTTTCCACTTTGATTTTTTCAAAGCATTCTCATATTGGCATTCAAAATACTTTCCAAATTAATTGTAATGGTTTTTATATTTCAAAAAAAGTTCAAATCTGAGAATTGCTAGAGGCTTTTGCAGGCCACAGAAAAATGAATCAGGAGAAATAAAATTGACAGCACAGCTCTGTAAATGTACTAAAAACCAGTGACTTGAATACTTTAAATAGGTGAACTTTGTGGTATGTAAATTACACCTAAAAAAGCTACTGAAAAATGTCAGGAAAGGGAAATCTGCACTTGATTTTTTCTAATTAAAAGCTGATGGTAGCGCCGGCGCCGCGGCTCACTAGGCTAATCCTCCGCCTAGCGGCGCCGGCACACCGGGTTCTAGTCCCGGTCGGGGCGCCGGATTCTGTCCCGGTTGCCCCTCTTCCAGGCCAGCTCTCTGCTGTGGCCAGGGAGTGCAGTGGAGGATGGCCCAGGTGCTTGGGCCCTGCACCCCATGGGAGACCAGGAAAAGCACCTGGCTCCTGGCTCCTGCCATCGGATCAGCGCGGTGCGCCGGCCGCAGCGCGCCGGCCGCGGCGGCCATTGGAGGGTGAACCAACGGCAAAAGGAAGACCTTTCTCTCTGTCTCTCTCTCTCACTGTCCACTCTGCCTGTCAAAAAAAAAAAAAAAAAAAGCTGATGGTCTGGGTTCAGTTTGTAGAAGAACACAATACTACATGAGGGGAAGAAGGAGTTGGGCTAACCCTAGACACAAATAAAATCCTGGTGATTCCGAGATGATATGACTTGGATGTGATCCCACCTGCTGCTGTGCAGCAACGCCAGCTGAGGTCAGAAATACTGTTTCCCTGTCACCTCCTAAAACGTGTGAAACAACGCGATCCTTGGTTTTTAAAAATATTCATATATTAAATTCACCACTTCACTCATATCAGAGGCTTTTAGTACACTGACACCAAAGTGCAACCACCACTAACTCCAGAATATTTTCATTAACAAGGTGCTTTATAAATCTTCAGTCATTATACCAAATTCTTCATTGTGATACTTCCATGAATCAGTCAACATACCTTATTAGACACATAAAAAAATAGTGAAATTTTCCTTTTTAAGGTTATCAAAGCTTCTGATCTATTTACTTTAACAAACTATACCTCTCCAGCGAATTTTCTGAGCTTACCTCTGTCTGCTATTCTTTTCATCAACTGATGCTCTCCCCATTTAACCAGATATTTAAGGATATCTTGTTCACTTGCCTACAATAAAAAAATGGTTGATATTTGTTTAGTGAAAGTAGATAAATGGTAATTCCGTTAATGACATTTCCTGTGCCCTTATGTAGACAGAGAACGCAGCTCACCACATTTTACTCTTTACACTGAGAGTTAAACCTGTGGTCCAACAACAGCCAACACACACAACACTGTGCTACATATGCTTTATCCATCAACCTCACTCTCAGCTCCAACTACATTTTTATTCTTAATTCCACCTTTTTTAAAAATCCTGTTCCCTTCTAATCATAAATCCATTTTATCTTACTGTAAAGTTTCTACATATTGCCTTAAGTTCTTTCTTTTGGAATGAGACAGCGAGAGATAAATGAGACAGGGAATGACAACTCTCTCCTGGAGAATGAGACCCGCAGCTTGTCCTGGGAGAAGACGCCTCCACTGATGGTGCAGGACCTGGGAGCACACCTGTGAAATGGCACAGCATCCGTGCTTCGCTGTGCTTTACGGAAAATCTTAGCGCAAACCACTCTGCTCTTCGGGTGTTCTCTACTCTCTAAGAAAGAACGCAGAGCTCCTAAAGACAACAACCTGAGAGAACTGAGAAGTCCTAACTCCCAGAAAGCCTCCAGTCTTGATCAGGATAGTGCAACAGGTCTGCTAATAACACAGACCCTCCACAAACCAAGCCCAAGGGTGGTAACATGTGCCCTGCAACCAAAGCAATCGACAAAGGAAAAGCACAGCTAGCTGTTCAATGGATTCTTAACTCTTAATTGCATTTTGGACTGGGATGGTAGCAGTTTATAATTTTTATTGTACAAAGAAATGATAAATTATCAATGGGTTTATAGCTTTTTCAGGAGCAGGTGCTTAGCCTAGCACTTAGGATGTCTTTGTCCCACACCAGAGTCCCTGGGTTTGATACCTGCCTCCAGCTTCCTGCTAACGCAGAGCCTGGGAGACAACAGTGATGGCTCAAGAAATGGGTCCATGCCCCTCACCTGGGAGATCTGGATTGAGCTCCTGGCTCCTCCCTCCAAGCCCTTAGCTTGTCGCTATGAGCATGTAGGGAATGAACCAGTGGGTGGGAGTTCTTTGTTTCTATGTCTCTAAAAAAATTTTTTTTAAAATTGCTATAGCTTTTAGCACAAAATTCATGCAGCCAATGTAAGAGAAAATTAAGCTTGAAAACATAATTTTCCTGAAAGCTTTTTTCTGCAATATTTAAATCTAATTACCAAATTAGATTAACATATAAAAGCCAAGGACACAACAATCTGCTAAAAATGACTTCTGATTAAAAGTAAGTAGTTGAAAACATTATTATACCTTGGCAAAAACACGTGTGATCCTTACTCAGTGCTGCTTAAGCTAATGTCTGCAATTCAAGTACCTGAGACCCCACCAAAAGGAAAGAAACTGCGTCAGCAAATACACATGAGGAAACCAAGTGGATCACCGTTGGGATGTGTTTCTGACCCTGCCTACTGCCTCAATCTCACTTGGGTGTAGCTGGTTACGACCTGGGCTTGTTCACAATCAAGTCATGGTAGCAGCGTGCATGGAGGGCCAGTGAGTCGCAAGGCTTTTGCTGTATAAGTATGAAGAGGGCATTCACGGGTGGTTCGATCACTGTCTGTTTCGCTCCCCCTGCCTTGCCCTCGCTGGAAGAGTAAGACACAGATGGGCTTCCTGGCGCACATATGAATGACAATGAATTTGAGAGGTGTATAAATGATTACCTGTAGGTAGTCAGACTGGATAGCAGTAAGCAGATGGTCTTTGCTGAGTTCATAAAAAACATCCGAAGCCATGACCTGGGAAAATTCCTCACAGAGGAAATGCAGCGCTTGTCGGTGGACCCATTTAGAGCCGTATGGATGAGAGCTCCACTTGAGGATGGCAATTAAGGTATCTAATGAGATGCTCTCAGCAATGATATCCTCACAGCCTGAAAGAGAAGGCAAATAACTTCTTGAGATTAATCATAAATATTACTTTTTGAACATTAGAGTGCTAGACACTATATTTGAAAGTAGCAGTAGTTAAAAAAAACTCAAGATAAAATAAAATCCATGGAAATCACCAAGACTTGGTAGGATGAGGTTACTGTAGATTATGACATCCATGGAAATCTACTGCCCCACAGACAGACCAATAGAAAAAGGCAGTGAATCTTTCCAATTGGTCCAGGAAATAAATATCTTTGTACAAGTCCAACAATGTGAGTGAGATCCTAGCGTGGAAAGCAATGGACGAAGCAGGAAAGGAGGTAGGCAGAGCTGACATAGCTGTGGAGCTGGCCAGAGGAAACGGAGATGACAGCTGACCGATGGAAGAACCCGCACCTGAGCAGACAGGTGGGCTGCCGATACAAAGACATATCTGTTCTTTGTATGGTCCTAATAAAAACATAATGCTTTGCACTGGTTTTCATTAATCCCGTAGGAAACAGGCAAAATATCAAAAGTTTCATGCTCACCTGGGCTTAATTCTAGCAAACATGTAAAGAATAAATGGTTTAAGGGAAATGGGCCAGGATCCTGGAAAAAGAAACTACAGCATTCTAAGTGCTCAAGAAGCAAAGAAGAAAATCCGAGGTAGTTAGCTATTGTCTTTAGGAAAGATCGTTTCAAAAGACAAAGATAAGATAGAAGTCAACCCTGAGGGACAAACATTGTGGAGGGGAAATGTCTGGGCAGCAGTTTTTCATTAATGTGAGCAGAAGTTTAGCCTCCACCAGCAGCAGCAACAATGTGGCTCCACATACTGCTAACAAGCTCAGAGCTTTAAGACACGGCTGAAAGAACGGGCACCCACCAGTGCCAGAGACTTTCAGAATCCAAATTTATACGTCCAGCCATGAAAGATGGGAAGAGAAAGGGGGTGAAATCCAGCTTCAGATGATATAAGATTGTCAGTGGCCAATATAAGTAATGCCTCATCCCCTTTTACGAAAGGTACCACATACAAAGCATCACAGGTGTCTAGCATTGTAACAGAATGAATGACAGAAATCTGACAGGGCTAGGCCGGCATCGCGGCTCACAAGGCTAATCCTCTGCCTTGCGGCACCGGCACACCGGGTTCTAGTCCTGGTCGGGGCGCCGGATTCTGTCCCGGTTGCCCCTCTTCCAGGCCAGCTCTCTGCTGTGGCCAGGCAGTGCAGTGGAGGATGGCCCAAGTGCTTGGGCCCTGCACCCCATGGGAGACCAGGAGAAGCACCTGGCTCCTGGCTCCTGCCATCGGATCAGCGCGGTGCACCGGCCGCAGCGCACCGGCCGCGGCGGCCATTGGAGGGTGAACCAACGGCAAAGGAAGACCTTTCTCTCTGTCTCTCTCACTGTCCACTCTGCCTGTCAAAAAAAAAAAAAAAAAAAAATCCGGCAGGGCTGCCATAAAAGCTGAAGCAGTCTCAGGCTTTCATGATCAGCATCAGTCTCATCAGGGCAATGCTGCCCTGGCTCCCCAGGAGTGCTGGTGTCTGGCCTGATGACTGCAGATCCTCAGGAGGGCACAGGAAGAGCAGAGTCTGAGACATAAGCCAGGAGGAGAGCGCCAAGCAGATGAGATTACCTGTCTTTATGTAAGGGAGGCTGGGGACACACATAAGAGCTTTTACTGTCTGATGGAACTGACATCAATGCCAAGTCCCGGGAAACAAATGTTACAAGTAGGGAGACTTTCGCCTCAGTGTTGGGGAGTTTCTAACAATGAGCAGGTCTCTCTTCTCTTCTGTTATATAAAGGACCCTCTAGAGAAGTGTAGGTGCAGAGGCTGGCTCTCCACACTAGGGACGGAGGACAAGAACCTGATACTGAAGGTTAGAACCATGGCCAGAGACACCCAGGCTGCTTTTGTTACAAAACATAACATTTTTGCAAAAACAGTAACAGAAAAAAATGCAGGATTAATTTATTTAGTCTAAACACTAAAACATTTGTATAAGGAATTCTGAGAGCACCGCAGTGACACCCAAAGGCACACGTAGGCACTGGGGAGAGGAGGGAAGCAGCGGCGAGCTCTGACGTCCGAGCCTGAATGCTGAGCGGAGGGCTTCCGCCGGTCCTGCTGTCTCAGAGCGGCCACTGGAGAAGCACCGAGTGGGAGAGTCAGTCTGGGAGGAAAGGCGATCTCCCAAGATGTGTTTGCAATGCTGATGAAGAGGAAATTTAGATAAAAGGGGGTTATTTAAAATGATAGGTCACATTCCTACTAAACCAGTATATTGGCAGAGGTAAAGAAAGAGAAGTAAACACCATCACACATTCAAATTTCTGAGGTTTAACAAGCAGCAGGATGTGGAAGGAAAAATTGGGCTTTGGAATTAAACACCTTGGACTTGAAACTCCATTCCTGTATGTCACTTAGTAGCAAAGTGACTTGGGCAAGTCACTTAATTCTGAGCCTGAAGTTTCCTCATCTGTAATGGTGGGGCTACATTTCCTAACTCACAGGGTTGTCAAGAGATTTATCAAACTGCACCTGGCTCCTGGCGCAGTGCGCTGGCCGTAGCGGCCATCTGGGGAGTGGGCCAGCGGAGGGAAGACCTTTCTCTGTGTGTGTGTGTGTCTCTCTCTCACTGTCTAAAGGGATGCGTCTTATTTATTCAAATTAATACTTGGACATCATGATAAAGGGTTTCAATAATGATGATACGCCCTTTGTCAAGGCTATTGATAATGGAATGAAGACATCAATACAGCAGGAAGGCAGGAGGGGTGCTGGCAGGGAAAGGCCAGCAGGCGGGATGCCCAGGGCTTCAAACAACGCCACCTTCTTGGTCCATTTGGGTCCAGTTTTGTAGGTCCAAAACATGATCAACACGTCAGAGATGTTTGGATTCTTCGTGACAAAGTGATGTTAGCAAATGTGTCAAGACCAGTGCACACATCAGCACAGCCATCTAGTAAGCAGAGTGCCATAAGTCCTATCTCAGCACTTCTCAAAGTCTCTTGGGTTTCTTTCTTTCCTTCTGTCATGGGCTTGTGACACTTCAGTAAAATTTGGCATGAATGCTGCAAGGTCAAACTGCTCGAAAAGTTTCTAAATGCTACCACTCTCAATTCCTGTACTTAGCTCACCGAATAGTGCTGCTCCACCTGAAGTCCCCTCCTTTTTTGGGAACAGGGCTTTCCCTCTTGCTTTCTGCCATAGACAGAACGTGCTGTGGCCGGCCTGTTGGTCAGAGGAGGAAAACAAGCAGCACTGGAGCAGAGCCACTAGAGTGGAGGCAGCTGCTGCACACTGATGTAGGGTGCCTCAGCAAGTTCTGAGAAGTAACTGTTCACTGCCAAACGCCCTGGAGGTTCGCAGGTGGTTCATTACACAGCACTGGGTGACCAATAAACCATCTAACGTTCTGGAGAGCCTCAAAAGCTTTTATTCACAATTTCCTTGTAATAGAAAAATACCACCCGTAGCGAAAGCATTTATGAATAAAGGGCAGCTTTTCATCATTACTGCTGTGAAGATGGCACAAGGTATGAAGTCAACGTCCTCAAATTCCTTTTGTGGGGTGGGCATTACCCTTGCAGTTAAGGGGCTGGTGAAGACACTTACATCACATGTCGGAGTCCTGGGCTCCATACCCAGCTCCCGCGCCTGATTCTACCCCCCCCCTTTTTTTTTGACAGAGTGGACAGTGAGAGAGAGAAACAGAGAGAAAGGTCTTCCTTTGCCATTGGTTCACCCTCCAATGGCCGCCGTGGCCGGCACACCACACTGATCCAAAGGCAGGAGCCAGGTACTTATCCTGGTCTCCCATGGGGTGCAGGGCCCAAGCACTTGGGCCATCCTCCACTGCACTCCTGGGCCACAGCAGAGAGCTGGCCTGGAAGAGGGGCAACCGGGACAGAATCCGGCGCCCTGACCGGGACTAGAACCTGGTGTGCTGGCGCCGTAAGGCGGAGGATTAGCCTAGTGAGCCGCGGCGCCGGCTCTGATTCTACCCTCTTAAAACACAAATCCTGGGTGACAGCAGTGGTGGCTCAAGTACCTGGGCTGCAGCCACCCATGGGGGAGACCCGGATCACGTTTCTGGCTCCTGACTTTGGCACAGCCCAGCCCCAGCCACTGTGATAATTTGGGAAGTGAACCAGTAGGTGGGAGCTCCCTTTCCATTTCTCTGTCTCTAAAATAAATACAACTAAAAAGGTGGAAATAAATAAAATTCCTTTTGTTTGTGTGATAATCACACTGTACAGATATACCTCCTACTTGCTTAAACGCTCTCTTCTATTCTCTTTCACTGAATATTTTTTCTAATTCTTAATGTGGGCAAAAATGTCTTTCAAAATGTTGAGCTATATAACCATATGAATGAAAAATCAAGGCTGAGATATAAAGAAATAAAACAAATTAATTTGGAATTTAGTAATACAAATGATTGTTACAGCTGCACATTAAATATGGTCACTTTCTGGTTTTATCAAAATTTTTGTTTTTCTCCTCATCGTGTTCCTCTGGTAACTAAAACAAGCCTCCATGCTGCCAGCTCTCTGAATACACCGTCAGGATCCATCTTTCTCCCCCCACGCTCTTCGTAATTCCTAAGCACCCTACTTGTTTCACCAACGCCACTGGGAAACCGCTTTTCAACAGCTCATCAGGAAACGTGTAAGGCTCCCAGGTTCAGAGTCTCACCCTGGGGCTGAGCTGGGAACAGGAGGAAGGAGACAGGAAGTGAAGCTGGCAGGGAATGGCTGGTGGTGATTCTCTCTCACGTGATGTGCACAGCATCACAGCGTCACAGGCTCACGGCACGGTCAGCCTTACATGGGTATGGTGATTCTCTCTCACGTGATGTGCACAGCGCCACAGGCTCATGGCATGGTCAGCCTTACATGGGTATGGTGATTCTCACACGACGTGCACAGCGTCACAGGCTCACGGCACGGTCAGCCTTACATGGGTATGGTGATTCACATGACGTGCACAGCGTCACAGGCT